AGCCCTGCGCCCCTCCTTCCCCAGAGTGCCGGGCAGCTCCGAGCGCGGCTTAGATTAGCCCTCGGCTTCCTCTTACGGTGCTTGGGATCCCTCATTTTCCATATCCGGTAGCTGTTCTTTAGACTGGCCACCTCGGGAGTCCCTATCTCCGGTCACAGATCGCACGTTCTTTTGTCCTACAGCAAGCACGGCTCTGGTGACTCTCCTGGCTATCTTCCTGCATCAGCCGCCACAGGCTCTACACGTGACGGGCAGTCTCTCTGGAAAGAGGGGAGCTGCTGTGACAATAAAGCCAAGGCACTGGTAACGCCTCCGTTTATCCCAGTTCCTGGGCGAGGAACGAATTTTATCCTGCATTTACAACTATTTTAATTGACCATTCATTTTAGGGATAACCATGAAAGCTTGAACCTCTTCCCTTTCAGTCAGTAAGGACTTGACAAATTAATAGTTATGTTGATTGTTTCTAGGATAAAATACCACAGTTCACTGGCTCTATCATGTAATGCTAGATTGAGCTGGGTCTTGTTACCAGACTTATACGTGTGTGCATGTGTTCATCCTTTTCTGAACAGGCAGGTTCTGGACTGGTGAGACATGTTACAAGGAGGGTCCCTGATCAGAATTGCTCACATTGATGAGTTTTGTTAAGTGATCCAGCCTAAGTAAAGGCATTGTTTCTGTTTGAGGGCATTAATTAGAAAATAACTGCAGAGAAAAGTTGATCGTGAAGAGAAATAAATGGCATAGCAACCCTGAACTCTTTCTGTGTGTGTTCAACACCTGATTATACAAATATTTTTTTTTCTTTCTGGGGTCTGTCAAACTCCTATTTAACCTTAGTAGAAAGGGGTTTCAGTGGCACTGGGCTCAGAGCACCCTCCACTGAAGGCACCTAAATTACAAATAAAACATATGAAACTTCTTCAGTAAGCCTCATGTGTCAGAGGAAAAGACAGAGACAGAATGTCCTCAAGGTTACAGAGATCTTCTTTGGCACAACTGGGAAAAACTGCCAGAGCTGTGGTGTCCTGTCCTTGGAGTGTCCTTCATGTGTCAGACTTTGCCATTCTGTCCCAAGAAGGCACCTGGGGTAACCCTAGTCCTGCCTTCAGTGAGAGCAGGGGAGAGGGGACAGGAGGCAGCTGTCCTTTAGTTCCCCTTTGTCATTCTGGGCCCATATATTGCTCATGTCAGTAAACAATCTCCTTCTTAAAGGGATTTTCACTGGACACAAGGACGCTTGGAGGATGACCTGGTGTTACTGTGCTGCAAAGAAGGATGATAAGAACTTGAAGATCTATTGTGATGGTCTTTGCAGCTCCCCCTGCGATGAGCTACCTCCTTTTCCGTTGCATGCTAATTTATAAATAGACCAGATTCCGCTACTCAGAGAAAGCTTTTGTCACTCCTTGTACTCGATATATGTGATACTCTGCAGTGGAGAGCAGATGTTTGTACCAGATTCTGCTCCCATGGAAATGGGCAGTAGAAGACTCAGAAGTGAGGGGTGAAATAGCATCAGGGTTATCTCTTGTCCTCAGCTCAGAGCTCCTGTTACAGCCAGTCTGAAAGGCCAGAAGACGCCCTTGGATTTAGCAGCACAGTCTCGAGTGTATGCCTGTGTCTCTGCTGGAGATGGACATCCTGTTGTTTGCAGACTCCAGTTACAGCTAAAGCTAAAAAAAAAGCCTCTGTCTGCATAAACAGGAATTTTCCTCAATTGCAGGAGCTAGCAGAGGACACTGCTTTGTCTCTGTCCCTGAAAGGGCTGAGTAATGTTTTGTTTGTTGTTTTATTCTTTTTGCTGCCTTCTTCCAGCTCCATGACTTTGGTGGTGCCTTTGGCAGAAGAACAGTTGCCATTGCTCCCATCTTATCCATATCCACCAGAGGATTTTGTTTTCCAGATTGTTTGCTGCTGCTGAAGCCATAGCAATAATGCTGCTGTATAGCTTTACTTAAGGGAGGGAAGAAACAAAACCACATGACAAATTGGTCCAATTTATCACAGCAACAGAAACCTGCAATTCAGCTCAATCGCCCCCACAGGCCAGCTTAGACAGCATCAATATTTAATGACCTGAGCGCCACTGCCTTCACAGGTTGAGCTCCACCTCTGCCCTTGCCTTGTCGCAGATACCCCCAGGAATGTCACCCCACCAGTGTGGAGAGCACCCCCAGAATTCCTCTGGGTGAGCAGGGTCTGTCTTCAGCCTGCCAAGTCAAGCCTGTTTGCTACTCAAAGGGGCACAGTCCAGACCTGCTGGGTATGGCTAAACTCTGCCCCTTTTCCTACCTGGCTGAATGACCCATGCCATAGGTTTATGCCCAAGTAACATCTCCTGGCTTTCTGGGCAAGCCTGTGGTCTGTGGCAAACAGGAAAGCAGGAGTAGGACTGGACCATCACAGCTCATGACCTCTCCTACAGTCATTTTTTGGGTAATTGTTTAAACGAGACAGGACTGTTCACTTGGTAGCAAGCTAGAGGTGGCTTCTGTTCAGCTGTCTGTATCTGTTCCCATTATTAAGGCAAGAGTATTTTATTTCAGAAGGAGCTGCAATGAAATAAAATGCCAGCAACATGTCCAGCAAGTGGTGCAGGAAGACTTGAAAAAAGAGTCAAACTATACCAAATCCCTCCCACTGTGAGCCAAGCAGGGCATCAGAGGAGGTTGGGAATCTCTTTTACTGGGTCCAGGCTCTGAACTGGCATCCAAGAACATCTCTCAGCTCCATCCCAGCATGTGGCCCCTTTCTGGCTTGCTCTGCTTGGGACAGTAACAGGAACAAGTGACAGGTGATACGGCTATATACAGCCATAGGCATGTTCCCTCATGGCTTTCTTGCCTCAGTTTCCCTGGTCTGTAAAAGGGATGTAACCACAATCTCCTGGTGACAAGCACAAAGTAAAAAAAAACATTTTTATCAGGGCTGTGTTAGGGCAGAGAAATTTGTGCTGCTGGACCAACAACTTGAATTCCTCCAGCAAAACAGCATCGTCCAGTAGGTTCTCGGTTCACTTGAAAACTCCCATGAGTTAGCAAATTGCATATTCCAAAGGGGGCGTTCACTATCCATTCCACTGGCAGTGAGTGACAGAGGCCATTACGATAAATGGCATTTTGGAAAGATGGCTCTCTAATTCACTTGGTATTTAACACTGGCCATGGGGCTCAGCTCTTTATGTAAGATACATTCAGCAAAGCCCTTTTGTGACCATCTCCCTGCACCAAGGAGCTGTTAGAATAAGGGTGCTTAGGAATAAATGTAAGAGCAGAGGTTTCTGCATCAAAATAGCTTGGGCCAGAGGCTGCATGGCCGAGGGGACGATGATGTGCACAGAGGACTCAGGTATTTAGAAGGGAAAAGCTGGCTTGCTGCAGTCCATCCAGAGATGCTGGGCCATTTCCAGTGCCAGAGCTTGGCTGCTGAGGGATATCTTCCATCCCCTGGAGCACTTGGTGACTGCACCCAGACCCTCTGCTCTTGTAGCTGTAGAGCATCTGTCTTGTTATGGGCACAAAACTAACACAGCAGAGCTGTGCAGAATATGTAGCTCAACAGACATCTGCAAGTGCCCTAGCAAACACTTAATGGATTGTTCCATCAGTTAACTGTCCAAGAAAGGAACTGTGAGCCAATTCAGTGCATTCCAAATCACAGTTCTGTGAAAAAAAAGTTAACAGAGAGCACAGCTCTTCCTCCTGGCAGCCATCCAGTTATTAATCTCCATGTATCAGCTGCATCTGAATGGGCTTGGTCTTCCGCCCACTGTTTCTATTTATTTGTTTTCTATTCATCTCCACTAAAACTAAAACTCAAAGCCTTCCAGAGAGAATGGAAAACAAACATGCTGAACCAATACTACTGCCCACAGACAACTAGCGGAAACCACTGCACTTTTTCCTCCTTTGCAGTGAGGCAAGATCTAATTTTTAAGACTCTGGCCTTTCACCTGAAAAATAGCACAGGCAGCTATGGCATTAGCACAGTCTCAATTTCTTCTTTCAGACACATCAGTAGGCACCATCCTTCAGATCTTGGCTGTGGGTGCTCCAGGTCACAGTGACTGCAGAGACCCAGTGCTGGACATCTTTCTGCATGAAGCAACTTTGCATGGTTTAAGAAGACAGAGCTGATGGTCCAGATGGTCACGTTGGCTGAGTTTATGGGTCAGGATTAAAGGGAGGGCAGGACTGGTGACATTATAGTAGGGGTCTGCTTCAGACTGCCCAAACAGGAAGACGGAACTGATAACATCCTCTACAGACAGTCCTGGTCTTCATAGGCAACTTCAACCACCCCATACCTCTTAGAGGGACAACACAGAGGGGGGACAGGCAATCCAGGAGGTTCCCAGAATGCACTGATGATTATTTCCTTCTCCAAGACATAGAGGAACCAATAAGGAGAGGTGCAATGCTGGACCTTGTCCTCATCCACAAGGAGGGGCTGGTGGGAAATGCAAAGCCCAAGGGTAGCCTTGGCTGCAGCAACCATGGAATGGTGGAGTTCAAGGGTGGCAAGGAGGGTGCACAGCAAGCTCACCACCCTGGACTTCAGGAGAGCTGAGTGGCTTCTTCAGGGTCCTGCTTGGTGGAGTAGCCTGCGATAAAGCCCTGGAGGGCCCAAGAAAGCTAGTTCATACTCAAGAATCACCTTCTCCAAGCTCAGGAGCAATGCATCCTAAGATAAAGGAAGTCAGGCAAAACTACCAGGAAGCCTTCATGGATGAACAAAGAGCTCCTGGACAAACTCAAACAAAAGGAAACCTACCGAGGGTGGAAGCAAGGACAGGTAGTCTGGGAGGAATAGAGAGAAAGTACCCAGCCTGCCTCACGTTTGCCTGATTTCCCATTGGTGTCTTGGTTTGTTCTGGACACATTTTTATTTCAAAGCACATCACCTGATAAAATGTTTTGCTATAAAATCCCAGGCTTTTACAATACCCAGATTCTTTATGCATCCCAGTGTGAATAAGAACTGAAAAGCCAAAATTTATGAAATAACTTTTAAAGTTATACAAATTACAAAATACCTTCATTTACAATTAGAGAATTTAAATCCTATTTGCAACAGCACAATCAACAGGATTCAACTCTTGATGTACAGGAAGGGATTCTTACTAAGTAAAATGCACTAAAATAAGGCCTTGGTCTTTTTCAGTCTTTTTCAAACGTTTTCCTTCCTTAAAAACATACACAAGTGAGTGCATATGAGTCTGGTTGAATATTAAATTCTTCTGCTTGTTACCTAAAAGGTTTTCCTTCCTCCAATAAAGAGAGTTTCCAGTTCTGTGTTTATAGCATCATCAGGAATTACATCATCCTCCACAAACTCATCTCCAAGCTTCTTCCACCATGGCCAACGAGTGTATTTCAGCATGGTGTTGTGGGCTTGTCTTGCCTTGGTAGCTACAGGGATTGATCGACTCATAAAGGCACCAAAATCTTTTTCTGTGGTCTCTGCTAAACCCGGAGCATCTGCAAGAACAAGGATAAGAGTTTCCTGTATTTTGTTTGTGGTTTTATAAGTACTAAAAGGAAAAAAAAGGGAACACTACCCTCCCGCTTCCCACTGTCCTAGGCCACTCCTTTCCCTGTGCTGGCATTGCAATTTTATGACTACATGATAAATCATAAATCTGATTGGAGAGGCAATCCAAATAAAGGCTAATCTGAAAAAAGAAATACATAATGGGGTAGAAAGAAGAAAGGGGAAATATGGACCACTTCTTTCAGGTGCAGTGGTGGTATACACCAAAGTGACTTCTTGTGGAAGTATAACTTCAGAGGATCTCCTGGCCACTACTGTGGATCAGTGTTCCTGGCGCAGGGTGACATCAGCTTGGTGTTTCTACTGCTCTGGTGCAGCAGCCTTGTGGTTCCCTTGCCTGGGGGACCCAGCACAGTGTAAGTGTGTGGCTGATTTGCCTGCTCAGGGAGTGATGGGCTGCATTAGTGATAGACTAATGGAATTCAGTAACTTGCTGAATTCTGCCCAGTTTGGGTGCTCTCTGGTGGCTGCAGTTTGCTACTCTTTCTTTTTCATGCAAGCCAATTGTCTGGAATTAAGACAGCACAGTAGTGAATTCTGTTTCACTTATAGCCAGGCCAGAGAAAATGAAAACATGGAAATTGCAGCTCGAAGATTTCCCTCTTCATCTGGAAGGGTTGAGAGTGTTTTAACCAGCAGCTTACTTACAACACATGAAAACAAACCAAAGCAAAACAAATGCGAATAGGTTGTGTGAGACTCCTTTTTTAAGAAATTCTAATGCCTGTTACAGGGCTATTGCTTTTCTTGTGAACATATCAGACAGAGACTTGCAGCAGAAGAATAAGATGCTCCTTGAAAAACAGGTGTTTATCCCTAACCTACAGCAACACTTGGATAATCTCTAACAAAGCCTGGATCTCAAGACAAGGCATATGGCAAAGGAAGAAAGATATTTCAGTTTTGAAATGAGGCTTTACCACTGCTCACTCTAACTTTCCCTCTAAATTGGTTTAATCCAAATGGTAATCAAAGCCATGAACAGAGCAGTCACATACTCATTAGCAGCTCCACATCGGTGTTGACCTGAGCCAGCAAAGCCTCTCTCCGCTGTGCTGCTTTCTGATCCAGCCTGTTCCTCAACAGGAACTGTGCCAGCTTTGCCTGAGCCTGCATATGCAATTCTTTACTCCTTTCTTCTGACATTTGGGAAGCCTGGAGGAAAGTAAGTTTGTTACCATTAGGAGCTGGTTATTTTAAAACTTCTGGGGGCAGAATAATGCCTAAACAAGGAATGCAAATGCTGTTCCTAATTGTTAACTTTGTAATTTTGCTTCCTCTGCAACTCTCTTCAAAATCATCCATCATCATGTATATAAATTTTCCAATTATCGTTTGCTTTCACACTTTTTATTAGATTAATGGTTAAAATCCCTAATATCCTAGTGCCTTGCTGCCAAACAAACAGGGTTGATACATACATACCTCAAATGGATTATCTTCATCATAATTTATGAAGCTGAATATATTTCATCCCTACAGTATTTTATGTTGCATCATTAATGCAAATTATGAAATGAGTAAGAAAACAGACCGGATGCAATTTGATGTAGTCATCCACCTTCTGCTGCAACGCTAGTCTCTGCTCATTAGTCAGTCCCTTGGGTTCTTTCCAAGGAGAGAGAGATCTCCTCCTTCTTCGTTTCTCCAAGAATTTACAAGCCTTTGTAAGGAACATATGAGAATATGACAATCACAGAGAGGAAGTTTGTCTTCCCACTTTGTAAACAATTAGTGAAAGTGTTTCAGTACTGCATCTGTTAAAGCCTAAATGCAGCCATGATGTTGAAAAGACAACACACAAGGTCAGCAAGAGCACTAAATAGTAACAACACTCATAATAAGTTAGGGACTCATCTGTAGTACGGTGACATTCCAATGCCGGGTTTCAAAGAAGTAGCTTTTATATTTTAGTTGCAAGCCTCTATTAGGCTTTGTATCCTATACAAAGTTTAACCCTTTAAAGCAACTTGTGGCTCTAGACTATCACCCCCGAGTAATTTTTTAATAAATTATGGCTACATTGACAATAAGAGAATAAACAGTTTTATGAGGCTTCACAATAATCCACTCAGTCCTATCTACTATTAGAACAAAGTATAAATACTTACTGCTCTTTGAATGATGACAGCTGCCTTATACTCCTTAAGGGATTGTTTCTGCTGATGAAAAATTCTTCTTGCTCTATACCCTCGCCAGAATCTCTGGATAGTTAATGCTGATTTCTCCTCCATTTCCTGCATGTATTTATTCACCTGACCTACAAAGGTAACAAAAATCCACAGTTAGAAGACTATGGGCTAGGTTCTCTTAACAATTTACATTGTTAATCCTCAAGCTAGAGAGTACCAAAAAAACTTGGGTGCTCTCAGTTAAAAGCCCTTCTTTCCCCAAGGTCTCCTGGCTGTAGATCAGGTCTTGCAGATCATAGTTGCAATGGAGCTTTGTAACACAAGAAAACTGTCTCTCCCTTTCTCCTGCACCATTCTGAAGGCACCAGATCTTGATCAGTAGTTACTGAGCCCTGAGGGAATTAGCACATTCTCTTTCAGATAATTGGGTCAGGAGAAGAGACAGTAAGACTACAGTGCAAATAGACATGCAAGATTGGGAAATGGATTTGGGGAAATTGTTCCTAAGGACACCCAGACACTTTAATCTTCTGCTATAGTTTAATATAAATCATACTGGCATGGACAACTTCCAGTAAGGCCAGCTGTCGTTCATGGAAGAGTCTCATGGCCCTCTGTCTCTGAAGTTGCATTTGCAGCTTTAGAGCTTCATCTTCCTTCTGTTTTGTTAAATGCTGCAGTTCCTGTTCCCGTTTAGCTCTGCAATACACAAATACATTAACAATTACCTAAAGTTGTACATTTCTTTAAAGTATCTCTCCTTTTCTTTGTGTTAAGTGGTCCAGCATTGAGAAAGAAAATCCACAAAACAATCTGCTATGCCAGCTGTTGGCTGCAGAATGACACCAAGCAATGAGAAGTCTTCTGCGAACTAACAAATTATCACACTATCTATAGCCACGAAAAACTCTGAACCACTCTATGAAATCAGAGTATAAATCTTTACTTAGGATGAAGTTCTAAGGACTCTGAAGGGAATGATGCTGCATTTGGGACATTCACAGCCAGAATGAACTGGAACAACAATTTTGATTCCATCATCTGCTGAAGAGGTAAAGCAACATTAGCCATCTGCTCCAGTATCCACCTTTTCCAGTCCATCCATCAGCATGCATGGCACCTGCTTCCCACAATACATACAATTATTTTTGTACTGACTGCAAAAGGAGATCAGAATGTTGGCTGCCAAGCCTCACTTCTTAATTTTGGAGAGATTTTTTTTCTCCAGGAAATACAGACTGACACATTTGGTCCATCAACTTTGCTAGAAAACACTAGGAAAGAATTTTCTTGCAAATTCTTCCTGATCTGTTCCAGATTTGATGTTAGGATGTTGCCCTGCTGCACACTGAAAAACCTGCAGCAGAAGTTTCACAGATGAGACAGTTGAAAACTCTGCAATGGCCCTGGAGTGTTTAAGCTAATAACAGCATGTACATCAATGAAATATGATATGCAGCAACATATCAATATACAGACTAACATAAAATAATTAATATAGTGATGTATTGACACTAAAAATTACTGAGACCACTTGGCCATGGTCTCAGTGGAGTATGAGGAGGTGTGAGCTAAAGCTCCCTCTCCCTTCACTGCCCCTTTTCATCCCAATGGACCCAGCCTAGCAGCTTAAGACCTGAGAAAGTACAACTTTACCCCACAACAAGGTAACAATGGGACTTCTCTGCTCCTATTGCAGCAAAATCACTTCCCCCTCAGGACCCGAGTACCCTCCCTGGGCCCACAGCCCATGGTTCTGCTCTCCTCTAGCACTTTTCTGGGGACAATGAAAGAAGTGCTTTAAGCACTAGGAAAGAAAACCAACCAATGCACAGAGCAGAGGTATAAGGGATGCCAGAAGAGGAAAATGCCCACAGACTAGACCTAATGTCCAGCTAATTCTGCCATTGCTGCATGGCACATACCTTTAGACTCACAGTACTAATGAGCTATTTGTGTTTCCCATCACTAGTATAAATTGAGCTATAATTTTCCCACCAACCATCCATTCTCTTTAGTCTCTAAAACTGTATTGGGAGAGATTGGGATGGAAGCTGTGTAAAAGAGATGATCTGGATTTAAAGATCTGACCTCAAGAGATAAAAAATCCTCCACCACAATCTGACAGACCATAATCCTTTTACAACTGTAATGCAGACTTGAGGTGTGCCCACACACCTATCTACAGAGACAGATCATGATACACGTGGTTATATCAGAATGGTTTCAAGGAAATGAAAGATTTTCAGCCCACACATTTCTGCAAATCAGAGCTGTAAATTTTTTAATTTAGGTAATAAATATTTTAATCCAAATATTATATTTCTAAGACAAGTGAAGTCACAGGACCAAACAAGACTTTTGATCATATTTTCTTGATAAAACTATTAATATTTTGCCCATCAATTTTTATCAGCTTCACTAGGTTGAAAACTACAAAAATGAACTTTTCAGATGCACATCTGTGAAACCAAGAGTGTCTGTCAGGTATTTAAATGATTATTTAATACTGATTATTTCCTATGTAGTTTGCAAAACACATTCATCCTCTGTTTCTCCTAATGATAAGATATATTTGCTTGCACAAAACCACACTGTGACAGGGAACTGCCTCTGAACTAAAGGAAAACATACACAGAGTAGGATCCAAGCTTCCTTCTGCAGTTCATGGCACAGAGCAGCCTCCCTCTGGTCATCTCTTTAGAAATGTAAAATCGTTTCATTTTTGATGCATTATTAATAAAAACTATTGCCATTTAAAATGTCCTACAATTAGCTATGTAATAGTGAACTAGCTTCAAGGAGAGACTACAGGCTTTAACATTCACTGAGGAGATATTTCTGAAACCACAGTTTCAAAAGATTATAACTTGCAGAGTTTAAAATCTTTCTCTGCAGCTGCAGGTGAGCAAAGTTTGGAGTTTCAATCTCAGCACTATTTAACCACACTTGTTCTAAAATAAATCTGTGAACATAACCAGAACCTGATTGCTAAAAATTAAAAAGTCCTCTTAAAAACTCTTCCAAAGTCATGTTTACAGTATTCTAAACACTATTTTTCAGTGTAATGTTTTGGGGTAGACAGAAGAAAACCAACAGTGGCACTGTACAGTTACTGTATTTGCCCAGTCCCATTGGGACTAAGTGAGCCATGAACACACACAGCTGTAAGGATATTAATAAGTTTCCATTCCTCTCAATATTAAACAAACACTTTCAAAAGTCCATTTAAATGACTCGAGAGCTACTTAAAGTAGCTTGGTGATTGCTGATAGTCTCACCATCCTTTCCCTGCTGCTTTTCCATGCTGCTTCTTAGGCCATCATCCAAATTTTCTGAGCTATAAATTTAGCTTGCAGGCTTGCAAGGTACCTTATGAGGGAAGGGATATGGGCTTCAAGTGTATGGTGGAGTAAAAACGAGTGACAAGGATGTCAGACTCCATCACAAAAGTGCAGTGACCACAGTCAACAGACACACTCCTTGTCCCTGCAAATCTTTCAGAATTTAAAGACTACACCTTAGACAGTCCAATATCCTCTTTTGTCCAGTCTAGACAATAAAGAATAATTGCTTGTTTTGTATTACTCTGGTCACAATGCAATGTAATTTGACAGTGATTTATAAGATCTACTTTTGACACAGTAATGATCAATGTGCAAAAAAAGTTTGAAAAAACTTGCTGTGGAGTCTACACTTGATTTTAATCCCTTAACCTCTGTTAAATTCAAGCTAAATTTCTCAAAACAGTTAGCCTAACACATGCTAACATTACTGCTGCAATCTAATTCAAGTGAGACAAGCATTATTTACATAGCTTCCTTCTTCTCTGCTGCTCCAAGGCAGAGGATACTATTTCTAGGTCACTGGTATAACTCCACTTCTGAGAGCCAAAGATTTAAAAATTAATGAAGAACAAGGTCTTGCAAGCACTACACTGGCACTATGGGCCAAGCATTATGTGCCTTGGTTTCTGCAGCACTCTGGCATGTGGAAGCTCCAGGATAGCTCCAATGTAATTTACATAGCAATTTTGTGTGAAGTTAACTGTTAACCAGTTATCTGTCTTACCACCAGTACATCATCTTCTAGTGCTGTTTAGTGCAATGGGAGGGATAGAGACTGTCCAAAGAGAAACAATTAGGCCATGGAATGTAAGATATATACGGACAGGTAAGGTGTGTTTAGCCTAAAGGAAGGCAAATCTGTCTCTCACTACCTAAAGAAGTGTTAGAGAGCAGACACAGCCAGACTGATGGGGGTGCTCAGAAAAAGGACAAGAGGCAGTGATAAAGAGTGCAACAAGGAAATTCCCACTGCCGGTAATGGAAGAATTCTTCACAATGTGAATTGTCCAGCACAATGAAAGGGGATCAAGTGAGATGGTAGGATCTGCATCCTTGGAGACCTCTAAAACGGGAAGTGGCCCTGAGCATTCAGATCCCATTTTGAGGTGGGGCCTACTTCAAACAGGACACTGAATTACATGACCTGTGACTTTACTTACTTCCTTTGTGACTTGAGAAAACCCAGCCCAACTCAAACCTTCGGACTAGATCCTATTTACTGTTTTTCACAAAGTCATACTGTTTACCTGAAGCTTCTCTGTAAAGTGACCACTGCTTGGGGTAGCTTTTTCAGCCTTTTCCTTGTCTGAAATCCCCGCCATGCTGCCTGGATTATACAAGCTGCTTCATGCTGCTTCTGAAATTAAAACAGTTGGTAGAATATTTTCTATGCATACAAAAACACTTTATTACAGCTTGCATAATTGGACAATCTCAACATTTGGCCAAACCTCATCAGTTTTCAAATGCATCAAATTGGAGAATTTAAGGTCTTATGAGACAGTTATTACCATGAACTCCACATTTGCCCCAAAAGCAGCTAATCTGATCACCTGTGTTGCTGCTGTGATAAACAAATGAATCTACCACACAAATATATATATATGTAAAATCAATATGAAAAATTTGTATTTAAAACACCTGAAGCACTTGATATTTCAAATGGTGATTCAATCAAAATACCTACACTAGAGAGGACAGAAAGACAACTTTGGAGAAAGAGCATCAGGAAAAATGTTACATTTGCAGTATGATCAGAAGTCACTGAAATGCAAACATGAAAAACATCTATTCTATTCTTAAATGGATTTTAAAAAAAAACCCCACAAACAATATGAATCACAAGACATCCTGCTCTGTTGAAGATGAAAGCAGATCTCTGCAAATATAACCGATTTTCATTGAAGTATTGTCTCTGAGAAAGCTGCATGTAAATTTGTTTTAAGATGCTCATGAAACACACGTTGTCTCTTTCATTGGGAACACAGCCCAGGTGGTGTTCTTACTGCACATTTTCTGTATATGACTTAGTTCTATGTAAATGCTGCCTAGAATTCAGAGATCTAAATTTGTAACACTGATGTGAGAAAAGCAGATGAAGTTATTTTAATATGATAGTTAGCAAAAAAATTAATTATTTTCCCCCTATGGTTACATTGAAATCTATGGTGAATCTGCACAGAAAGCCAAGCTCTTGAGTCACAGTCCAATATTTTAATAGCTGAGCAATTTCTTGATATTTTAAAAAGCCACAATAAAATAATTTCAAAAAGGCAATTAAAAATTAATTAACATAGTGAAATAATAACACAGGTTTTTGAAAAGTGTCTACAAAGTGATATAGTAAATCCCTTCTAAACATACACAAATCACATGTAAATAGGATTTTACATCTGAATAGGATTTCACATCTGAAAGTCACATTAAACTTAATCACCTGCATTTCTCCTTTTCCACTGGATTGTTCCAAATACAGCAGGTCCAAGAGTTGATTGACCTCTCTGTCAAATCCTTTGCCAGTCCACTGTTTACTTAAAAGTTCTTTTAATCCTAAAAGAAAGAGAAGAAGCTAATTCAGTAACGTGAATTTTTCCTTTCAGGCTTTCAAAGTAACAAACTGCAAATCAACAAATCAAATCTGATTCTATGTGCAAAGATGTGTGAGAGCTGAAGACCATCAGCCATCTTTGAATGTCAATGCATAATCTTATCAAAGAATGTCTGGTGCTCCAACTATTACAAAGAAGTATTATCCAGTGATTTTGTATGTCTGAGTCAGTATTGTGTTTATGTCACTGACAGTCAAATTACCAATGTACTTTCAGTGTCTTATCAGTAAGTCATTGTAAGGTACTAAAAAGAATTCAAAGCACCACACAAGTGCTGGGTATTGTTAACACTCTTTTCATATTTTTCATAGTAAAATTTATTTCTTTCCAACTGGAATTGTTTGATGTCTTATCTGCACAGCATCATTTAACTGTGAGTGCATGTGCATCCAATTCATGAGGCAAAAGAGCTTTTTGGGTTTGCAGTAGCTAAAAAGCACCCTTGTGCTCCCCCCACAGCACACACACACTCCCTCTATGCAAGGATACAGTAAAGCGTGCTAAAATCAGACAAATCCCAGGGCTCTGCAGGGAGTTGGAGGGAACAGGAAGGAGGGCAGGAGGTATGTGCGTGTTTACCTCCTGAAGAACTGCAGATTCAAGTAACTTTTCCATCTTCAAATCACTGTCCATAAACATATTCATACACTGGGCAACTCCAACACAACAGTCACGTGTACTTACAGGATCTGGAGCACACAGAAATGGCACCTCTGTGGCACCATGTGCACCATTTCAGAAAAACAACGGCAGTTAAACACTGCAGGAGAGAGACAGACAAGACTCCAAATGGGTGCCCCAAGGCTGCTGGAGCCCTGCAAAAGCAGGGAGCCAGGCTACACAAGAGAGCTCCCTCACAAAGTGCTGTGGGTCTGACACAACCACTTGCCAGTCTCTGTACAGACTACACAGCCATATGCTCCTTTTGGCTACTGACAGGGAGTACCTCCAGTGTGCCCCACAGATTTGTCAACCCATGCAGGACAAAAGGCCAGGCCCTCCAGGGAACCTGACATAGGGACTGTGCTGGTCTTGGAGATGCCCTCACCTCCAGCAGGCTGCCTTCACTGGCAAACTCACACCAAAGCACCTCACACTGCCAACAGCTCTGAGCCACTGTGAAGCCAAAGGACTTCAGTGAGATGGCCAGATGGTAGAAATGCTGTAATGCTTTCTGTGTTGCTTTTATTCCTCAAAGTCTCTAAAGGATTCCAAAGCCTGAGATAAACTAACAGAAGGATTCTAACTTAAAAAAAAAATAGAGGGAAAAAAAGCATTTTTTTTTTCTTTTTTTACTGGAGAGAGGAAACATGTACAAGAGAGAGATGAAGTTTCTAAATGACTGTGGTATACTGTGATTTTAGAGCAAAATAAAGCGTCCTTTGATGCACAACTGCACTACTTCAGATAAGCCAGCATTCTACAGCTGGGATGATCAGATCATCATGGCAGCTTCCCAAGAATCCACAATGTGATACCAGCCTTAGGCACACTATACTTAATTCCACAATACAAGGAATCCCTCCTCTCAGTTCTGTAGGCAAAAGGGTGGCAAAGCTGTTCATCTGGTCCAGAAATTTGTCTGGCTGTTACTGTATAATAAGTAGTCAGCACAGGTGCAAAGAATGGAAATTGGACATTTTGCCTTGCTTTCCCTCTTTTTACTGTCCTTGTCCTCAAAGGACTGAGACTGCTCACCAGTAGTTTTGACCAACAATAACATCTAGAACATAAAAGACATGGCAAACATTATGCCTGTTCCTTAGACTCCATAGGCATGATAGAGTACAAAGGGGTTTCCTGGAGCTTCCTGCTACGCTAGAGACAGAAACATTAAATGGGACACCTCATTAAGGAATGAATAACATAGAACAAATTTTACACATACTCAGCCTTATCATAGGAAGGCATTGAGACAAAACAATAAATTAATTTCATGAATTCTTGGAAAGAGCTCATTCCAACTACTTGGATATTAAAAGACAGTCAGCTCCTGGATAACTAAACAGCCCCCTATCAGATGAGCAGACCTGCAACAGCCAGGGTCAGCAGGTCACTAAGTAAAACTTTCATGCTCTGGATTAGTGAGCCTTAGCACTGTGGCAGACATCACAAAGGGCTCTGTGACTGTGGCAGTAAAGGCACCCTGCCTGTGGATCCCTCAATAACCAACCTGCACAGGGAAACAGAAAGAAGCAAGAGCCCATCAGGTTGGAAATCACAATCAACAACTTTAAAAGACAAGTTGTCACATGCAGAGTCCTCAGTACACAGAAGAAAATAAATTTAGGAAACAGAAAGAGTGCAGTACCTTAAACTGCAATGAAAATTAATAGAAGGGAAAAAAAAACCACAAAGCAACATGGCATTGCAGTTTCCACCTGGACTAGAGAGTTACTGAACCACAATGGGAAACCTCTGTCTTTTTATTTTCACAGGGAATGTAAGAGAAGGCTCAGTGATTGGTCCCATGCATTTTTACAAACCTTTGTAGCGAGCTGTGAATAACTGCACAAGCTGTTTGCAAGATTTTGCCACTAACAACAGCAGTTTTGTGGCAGCACTTCCTACAGCAGGATTGGTGGTAGAGGAAAGCTTATAAACAAGTTCATCCAAAACAGAGTGAAGGGTCTCTTCTTCAACTTGAAGCAAGACAGAACTTTAAAAAGAATAAAGAAAAAAAAAGGGGGAGTGGGACAGAAGTGTTAATTGAAACAACATGAGCTTTTTAACAGTGATTTATTTTTACCTGTGTCAGGCTATATACAGCAAGCCAAGATGCCCAGCTAGCTGGACCAGGAATATGATCCAGGCAGTACTACTGTTTTAATCAACCAATTACCACTCCCCCAATTTAAGAAGTTTAAACCCCAGCTTTTTAATGTTTTCAATTTCTGCTACAAAGAATAGGGGAAAAAAACCCAAACAATAAAATACAACAATGCTTGCATAAGAAAAAAATTTATTTTACCAAGCAGTAATGAATAACCTTATGTATTTATTATTAAGCAAAAGAATTATATGAAAACAACCAACCTATTGATCCTGAAAATATTGTGTAACACAGACATCATTATAATTGCTGTTTCAACATCATCTGTTATTAACAACTGCAGGAAGCGATCATTTTGTAGTACTGCAAAGAAAACCAAAAACAAGCAAACAAGAAATCATGCAATCAGAACCAGACTTGAAAATACCATAAACCAAATAAACATCATCATAAGTCACAGCAAGTAAAACCAGACATTGTTTCTGGAACAAACTCCCTCATTTATAATTCTTAAACTGAAACTTATTGAGATAACTAAACTACTTCAGCCTCCAAAAAACATGGTGAATCCTGTTTTTTCTGCCTTTGGACATCCCTCAGGCACTGATGTTGCAAGGGAATGAAAGCTTTAAACCCCTTTATGTTACAATAGTACCCTTTTCTTACAACAGTGCAACAGTGCAACTAACACTGGGGTAAAAATATCCAAAAAAGTTAAGGACCTCAACCTTGACAGTTTGTTACCCCAGATTATTTAATGCAAGTCCACTGATGTCATTAAAACACCATCTTTTTTATCCCAGTGTATCACTAACTACATATTCAGTAATTTTTCTGACCATGTGTATTTATAGTTACACATATTATGATCCCTTTTTTTTTTTTGTCCAATAATAGAAACAAAACCAATTTGGGGTTTTCAAAATTAATGTGATTAATATCCGTTTAAATGAAAGCTTATTTTGGTCAGAAATATATAGTGAAGTTTGTTAGATATTTGTAAAATTTCCTGTCATGGCAAAAACTTCAGAAATCTGTCTGCAAATCTACCTACTTATCAGGGCTAGCAATGTACTCTAGTCAAATTTCTGCATATTTTAAACACACACAAGAAAGGATCAATTGTCTCCTATTGGGGGGGAAAAAACCCCAACAACCTGATTTTTAAAAGGTATAGACTTACAAAGAGAAACTAAAGGTAGACAGTTTAAGTATTTATCTCTGAAAGACTAGAAGGGGAACTCTTGAGTATTTCCCTTTAGTGTATATTTACAAGTTTAGATATTGCTGCTGAGCTGACTACTTAAAAAGACTGATTTAACATCTACTCAAGTTTAGAAGACTAGGTGTAGATTAGCTTAAGAATGAATTTTGATACTTGCAGTTGCCATAAATAAATGTTCAGGTGTTCTGTGGGTTGACATTTTCCTTACCACGTGCTGCTAGTTGGATATGCCCACCGAACAGCCAGCAGATGGCATCAGTTACTATTTGGAACCAGTGTAAAAAGTCTTGTTTTTCTTTATCCTAAACAAGAGAGAAGTAGGTAAAAACGTCTGTATGTACCTTCATTAAGAACTTAATCTTGATGTCATGGGAAGGTTTGTATGCCTCAGGAATTTGGCGACCAAACTCCACCAAATTTTCAAATGAAGTTGGTGAAACTGTAGGAACTAGTAAAAAAAGCCACCCCAACCTGTGAGACCTTTGAGGTCAGAGATCAATCAAGATGACCTGAAGATACTAAAAAAATAAAAGCATGCATTTGGGAAAAACAATCACAACAACGAGAGAGAAATCTTGTTTATGCCTTAAAAATATTTGATAGCATTGGAGGGATAAGACAAATAATAGCTCAGCAAATTGCCATCACAGATTTAATGCACTAAGTGGGAAATATATTACTTTAAAGAAGAGGAGGAAAATAAAAAAAAAAAAGGTATGAAGTGGCCAAGGACACAGTCAAAATGGAAAAGGTTTCCTGATAACTGGTGTGGTGAAGCTTCAGAAGCCTCCTAGTTTGAGGTGTGGGAGCAAACACCAAACCACTATAAAGCTGAAATTTGATCTGTTTGCCAAACAGACTACATTATGTGCTTTACTGTGATAGCACTGGACTGGAAAAAAAACATAGAATCAATCACAGAATGGTAGGAAAGGACCTAAAGTCCATCTTGTTCCAGCCCCACTGCCATGGGCTGGGACACCTTCCAGCAGACCAGATTTCTCAGAGCTTCATGGAGCCTGGCCTCCAAAGCTTCCACAGATGGAGCATCCACAGCTTCTCTAGGCACACTGTCCCAGTATTTTACCACCCTGACAGCACAGGATTTCTTCCCAATACCTAATTTAAACCTCCCTCTTTCAGTGTCAAGCCATCACCCCTAATCCTGTCACCACATGCCCTTGTAAAAAGTCCCTCTCCATCTTTCTTATAGCCCCTTTAGGTACTGGGAGGTGATATTCTTCACACTGAACAACCCCATCTCTCAGCCTTTCCTCACTGCAGAGGTGCTCCAGTGCTCCCCTATGACCAGTAGGAATTCAGGTTTTAACACGTGACTGCTCATACAGGTGCACATTCCAGTCTGTATTCCAAGTGTGAGCCACACACTACTGGAAATCTGGAATTTTGGTGTGTGGAACAGCAAAAGGGTTTTTGACAGTACCACACTGCTGACGAATGTTGTTACAAAGCACATGATCATACACCCGACATTAATTCAGCCTCCACAAATGAAACCCTGGGAAGCCCATTCCTAGATCCCAGCTGGAGCCTCAGCTCTCAGTCAAGGTTTAACTTTGTATTTGGTCCAGACTGACAAGAGCAGATACAAAATAACAGTAATATGTTAAGCTGTAATATTATCTGTTCTGCGTTTTGGCAACATGTCCGGTTTCTGAAAGCCATTTCACTGCTTCCCTTGACTTCAAAAACTTGTACAAAAAGCAAAAGAGAGCAGAATAAACTTCAAATCTCCACTGGTGGAGTGGGATTTCCAAAATTCCACTGAGCAAGCATCAAGTCTGGGTGCCCAGTCACCTCTGAGACCATGAAGTTTAAAAGCCAAAGTACTAATTATAATGTAGACTGCATTTGCATTCAAAAGAAATCTTTGCCCACAAGCATGACTCAAGTAGCATGTAGGCTGAGACATAATAAGAAAGTATGGGGGAAATTACATATTGTGGATAAGAGTCTCCTGGGATGTCATTTAGGAAGCTTCCTTGTTAAGCACAAAATGCACTTCTCAAGTACTGCACTAACAGAAACTATGTTATTGCACTGATGCTTTCTGAAAATTGATTGTCTGTGGTGTCTATCACAATACTTTGCAGGAAAACTTTGGCTAAGTGCAAGAAGCCAGTGAGCCAAGAAATGAGATAGTGTGGAGAAACGGGGATATTAAAAGAAACTGTCAGAATCCATGAAGATAGTAATTTAAATAACTCGTGGGTTTTTGTTTGTTTTGTTTGTTTTGTTTGTTTTGTTTGTTGGTATTTTTCCTTCTGATTCTAGAACTCAGAATACTCCAAAAGCATGAGGGAACCTCGCTGAGCAAAACCCTTCTTCACTGCAAAAAAGGAGGAAAATGTGAGAAAGTGCTTAAATCTATAAATTCATGAAGTCTGCCTTTGGCATTCTCCATTTGCATGTTCAGAAACAGTGAGCATTCTTGGAATTTTTTTGCCAATTATGCAGCAGAAATTGAATGACAAAACAAACTTCAACAAATCTGATTTAAAATCTTAAGACTCTCTAAAACATTTTTTGTAAAGCTGAATAAAATGAGTGAGAAGTAAGTCATTATGAAGGCTGAAGTAATGATTTGCAAAGTTAAGACACTACCATGACTGGGATGCTGTTTTTTGTAGGGTTTTTTTGTAGTGGCTTTGCAAAAGTCATGGAGCAAATGCTGCACAATGACAGATTTCAGCTTCAGAGCTCGGAGGCATAAGAAAAACTACTGTAATTTCTGGAAAATAAATTTTCCAAATACCATGTCCCTAGAATAATACCCTACTTATCCAATACGCAGAAAGTTTGCAGGCATTCTCTGCTATTTTAACTATGAAACTTAAATACCTTCATTGCTCGGATAAGTCGTGCTTGCAAGCGTTTTCCCAAAACCAGCAGGCTGTCTATAACTGAAGGAAGAAACTTCCTGTAAAATTCTTCAGGATCTTCTTCCACCTCTAGCCCTACACAACAATGACTGAAATGGAGCAAAACAAAACATATAAAAAAGGGAAAAAAGTTAACCTGAATAGGCAAAGACCTGTTTGAACAACTTTGAATGAATGTCACATCATCAGAGAAATGCTTCAGTGGCATGGGACAATTCCCCCCAAACAACAGCTCACTGCTGTGACTGGCTCCAAGGTGGCTGCCTCCAGGGAAGAGCAAGCACTCACAGGCTGGAGACCATATTACTACTCATTATGGCATTTCTCACTTAAAAATATATCCAACACACTTTCTCCTTTAGCTTAATAGAATCTGTTCAAGCTTGCTCCACATTCTAGGGAAGGGCTCTGATGGTCATAAAGCAGAAAAAAAAAAGGTAAAACAGAAAGGCAGAAAAAAAATGATAAAGGAAGCCCGATGATGAAGGGGGTGCACATTTGGCAGTAAAAATATGTATAAAAAATATACCACAAAACCTTCAGTGAGGCTGTCTACAATTTTTCTCAAACTGAGGAAGGCATGTGGGCTAGAATCAGTTCCTCAGATCTCAGCTCTCTTATTTTACTCACCGCAACATGTTGGTTGTTTCTGGAAGACTTTTTACAAGAAACTGCATGTTTTACAACTGGTAAGTTGTTTCAATTCTGCACTTGGCACTGATATCAGTGCAACAAAATAGTCTTCCTGACTTTTTATGAATTTTGCTTTCTGATATCTTATCTAGGCTATATTACCTTTTTGGGGATGCACATACATAAAGCTGTCTACAAAAGCCCTTGGAAAACAAATTCTAGGCATGAAGCTGAGAATCATCTAGCTACAAAAGGACATTTTTAGAGCTAAAATGAATTTCAGTATTCTCTGCAACTGAAACAGCTTTTAGGGGATGATTTAAGTATCACACTACTCTGGTGATAACTCTTGCATCCCTTACTGAAATTCCTCGTATTAAAAATTCATACTGCAGATATGGCATAAATAAGAGATGGTCACATAATTACTTCATGCCTTAGAATTTTGCTCCTTAGTTAAGCCAAAACTAAACTTGATGAAAAATTTAAAATGCATTATTTTTCCTGACATGTAAAACTGAGATTGGATCACTGGAGGTTTGAGTTTAAAGTTTTCTTATTTACAACACCATTCTCACAATATCCCTACATCAGGTTATCTAGTCTGTATGAACTGTGTAATCTATTATATTTAAAAATGTAAACAGATACTTCAAGTGTGTATATTAAATAAATATTTAAATACAGTCAAGCCAAGCAGTGCATCAATCAGGCTGAAGATCTTTGCAAGATGAAATCTAAGCAAACAAAATAACAATTTTTAAGTAGCTACAATTCAAAATTATATAATCACTGGGTAAAAACTGTTCACTGGTGAGTACTGTCCACAAAAAAAGGTGAAGCCAACACAAACCCTGTTCCCACCATATAATTCCCCCAGTTCAGTGAAACACAATGCAAATGAATTAAACAGGACCAATTAGGCTATGCCTGACCCCTCTGCTCTTGACTGCTTCCCTGCACTTTAACCCTGGCCTTTCCTGAACAACAAGCCTTGTTCTGGATGGGAGCCAATGTATTACAGCTCGAAAAGAGAAAGAGCAAGATGAAAGGACAGAAAGAAAACTGGAAGAAAACTTCTTAGCTTTTTTTTTTTACCTTAGTATCTCTGCTAGCTGGGCAGCAGTAGCCCAGGCTCCAGGCAGCTGAGAGTGGTCTTGCTTAAGGACCAGCAAGCAGTACTGAGTAAGACCATAATCGTATATATCTTGCTTAATTTTACTTGATTCTTCACATCCTAAGGAAGGACTGCTTAAAATGCCTGTGGGAAGAAAACGGGAGAGAGACAAAGAGAAACATAAGATTCTGATGTGCAGGTTTTTTTTTCTTTTTCTAAAATGTAAGAAGAGTATATGTACACAGAACCAGGATCCAGGATTAAAGAAATTGTAAAACTGCTAACAACAGCATTAAATATTTTGTCAGCAATTTCTGCTGTTACAGCTACAACTCATTTGTAAGATTATATGACAATTGGGAAGAATAGCTAAACTTAGTTTCCATTTTCTCCCTACATATTTAGTAGCTAAACACACATTACCTGGGATATGAACCATTTGTATGAATTTCCTAGACTAGATAAAACCACAACCACTGGGAAACATATAGCTTCCTTATAATTACATCCCAATTTAGAACAGGACCTGACTTGTTCCAACCATTCCTATGAGCAGTGGCTGTATAGCAGAAGGAAAGCTCACACAGGAGCTCATGATCTTGTTTCTATGTTAAGATTTAAAAACTGAATACAGACAACCACCCTGGCTCTCTGCCCAAAGAGCACTGGGAGAAATGATTTGACCAAGTGTAAGACCCTTGTTTGTATCAGCAGGAAAAGGGCCCACATTATCAGCGTGACAGCTGAAAAGCAGAAAAAAATTCTGTCCATTTGCTCCTCAGCTCCTCCTCCTTATTTTTGCCAAGTCAAACGCCACTCTCAGGAAAAGCTGCCGTATCAACCTTCCTTACAGAGTTTCAGAAAAACCTTCTGAATTAAAGGAGGTAGACGGGAGAAGGACTGGCCACAGTTCACCAGCTCATAATTTTATTTTAGGAACGGCACTAATTACCCTTTAACTTCAGCAGCAGCAGGGGTATGTCCTGTTCTCTGCTCTCAGTGATCTGAGCGGCCAAGGCCAGGACCTGGGGGTCCGTGGCTGCCATAGGGAACAGCCAGAAGCGCACACCACCATCGATTCCAGCCTCTCTCCTTTTTGTGTTAAGGCGCGGGGTCCTCACGCCACTACTTCATCCCAGCTCCTGCAGCAGCAGCTGGAAGCCCCGGGCTGCAGGACTGCCCCTGAGAAAGGAAACAAACATGGAGGCAGCCCCACTCGCGCTCCCTCCCGAGGCCGCGGGCCGCCGGACCGGCTCTGCCGGCAGGGCGCACCTCCGGCCGGGCAGCCTGAGCGCGGCCCCACGGGGCGGGCAGCAGGAGCGGCCTCACCTCACCCAGGGCCGGGGAAAGGGCAGAGGGAGCGGCGCCCTCTCCCACCGGCGTCACTGTCCCCGGGAGCGGCGGCGCCGGTGCCGCGAAGCCCCCACGCCGCGGGGCGCCCTCGGGGCGCTCTGAGGGGACCCACACGCACCGCCAACCCCTCTCACCGCCGCGCGGGGGCTCCCTGAACTGCGGGGGGAGGGAGGGGGGATTGGAACGCCGATCCCGCCGTCTCCAACGCGACGGCTCCCCCACGCCCCCCTCCCCTCACAGCTGTGTGGTCGCGGCCTCTCTCCGCCAACCAGCGCTCTCCCCTGCGGGAGGAGGGTACATTTGCATATCCGCGTGCGGGCTGGCGCCTCCGCCACCCCACTGGCGGAAATCTACATGGGGACGCGCTCGCTGACCAATCCAGCTCGGGGGAGGCGGGGCTCTGCCCGTCACGGCCTATCGCAGCCCGCGTGGGCGGGTCCCGCCGGCCCGGGCGGCGTGAGGGATGCTCGGTGCGGGCGGCGGCGGCGGCCCCAGGGCCCGCCATGGTGTGAGGCGCTGCCGCGATGAACGGAGCCGTCCCGTCGCTCTACGACCCCAAGGCGCGGGTGCTAAAGCTGGGGGAGAGCTTCGAGAAGCAGCCGCGCTGCGCTTTCCACACCGTCCGCTGTGAGTGCTGGGGTTGGGGCAGCTCTCGGGGGCTGCGGGGGCCGGGGAGGGGTTCGGCGGCCGCCGGTCCCCGCAGTTCCCTGGAGGGCGGGGGTGGCTGCGGCCACGCTCGGTGGCTGTCTCTGTCCCGGGACTCTGGGGCGCAGCTGGGCGCTGAGTGTCGTGCAGTGCTGGTCCGGGATTTCGGGAGCGGGGCAGGTTTCAGTCGGTGCTGGGAGCACGTACGGCCATTGTATCCTAGAGCTGCCCCTCGCTATCCGCTCGGCGCTAACTTCGCTTTTTATGCCTTTTCCATAGCGTCTCCCTGCGGCTCTGCTGGAAACAGAGCTAAGCAGAACCTGTGGCTCTGCCTTCTTTCCTTGCGCTCAGTTTTTAGAAGTTCCGTGCAATTCAGCAACCAAAGGTTAAAGGCAGGCGGTGTTAATCACGGAGCCAGTACGCCCTCCCTGAGTACATAATTACTATCTAGAGAGGTGTGTGCTCAAAGATTCTGAGGGTAGCTAGGAAACAAATGCTCCCAGGATTATAGTCCTTGGTAATTTAGGACTGCAGCTTCTGGTTTTGTTGTCTGATTATTTATATATAGACTGATATCCCCAAGATTCAGAGAACGTATGTTCTCTGGAGAGTGTCCAGTGTGCAAGATGGGTAATGTGCTCTCTGTGAGCAAAGGGAACAGCACTTAGACAGATTGTCTCCAACTGTAGAAGCAGAGGTGAGGGGGGGAAAGAAAGTTATAAATGGATTTAAACAAATGCTGCAATTTGAAATTTACCCTAATTTTAAAGAGGACTAACAACCCCGTCTGGTACCTCCTACCCTTAGAGTTTCATGCTGACTCTTGTAATGTGATGATTTGTTCTGAAATCTGTTTTGAAATCTCTCTTCCTTTCCAACAAATGAGACATAGAAAACTGGCATGTTCATCAGTTCTATCAAATGTACATTCAGAAGAAATATCCTCCAACACCTGACTTTTTAAAACGGTTGAGTAAAAGGGAAAACAGCTGTTGGTTAGAAGTTAAGACTGGAAGTATCACTATCTTCATTTTCTCAATTATTAATAGCCAGTGGCCATATATAAAAGTAAATATTCTCTGATTTGATGAGAAACTTTGGAACAGTTGCATGCTTATTCCTGGAGGACGACATTTCGGGGTTAGCAGGGGCTGTCACCTGTGTCTGAGCTGTGAGCACGGCCCTGCCCACCAGCTCCCGCAGCCTGGTTTTCCTGCCCGGTTGGTGTGCTGGCTGGAGCCGTGCTTCCCAGCTGTGGTCTGTGCCGCCTGGCCCGTGGCTGCAGGCCGAGTCAGGGAACTGGGAAGCTCCCCAGCTGCAGGAATGCCGCCGTCAGTGACCAGCATCGTGAGCTGAGGCAGGCAGCGAGGCGAGGAGCGTGTGCCGGCCCATGGGTCCCCTCCGCCTTCTGCGGCGTGCGAGGCAGGGCAGCGGCATCCCGGGGTGCGAGACTGGCCCTGCCGTACCTGGAGCCGCGGGCTCAACCCCGCATGTGTTATCACAGGCCTTGAAGAACCTCTTGATGCTATCCTGTCTCCCTAAATCGGCACAGGCAGAGTTTGGGCTGTAGCCCTTCCCAATATATTTGTGGTGGAAATAATACTTTGTAGGTAATGGTATGTGACAGAGCTGCCGTGCTGATGCCTGAACATATGCTCGTTTGCAATGTCTCAGACTTTTGAAAAGGACCAGAAATCAATGCCCTCTTTTGCTCAAAACTTATTTTAACAAGCCCTTTATATGCTGAAAAAACCAAAATGTAAATCAATGTTAAACTGGGAAGGAATTTCACTTTCAACAGTAATAACTATACTGAAACACCAAGTTTTTGTCAGGTTCTGACGTGCTCATTACAGTAAAGTTGGAAACAGAATGAGAAATGCATATTGAGGGTTGATGTTGGTCTTTGCATTTTCAGTCACTTGTCTGCATCTCCCATGTTTGCAATCAGCATTTTCAAGAACTATTTATTGTTTTTTTGAAAGTAATTACATGAGAATATACCTTTTGAAATATAACATAGCTTGTTTGGCTTCCTTATCCATTAAAACCTAAGGGTATTTTTCTAATTTTAACCTAAAGATTTAAACACTTATAATGAATCCTGAGAAAAGCTGCTTGACTTTGAATTCTATTGACTTATGGAATGATCTGCTCAGGGGGATGCTAGATGATACACTAGCAAAAAAGGCTTTTACTTAATAGACTCCAACTGCAATTAAGTGGTGCCTGCATTTATAAGATTCCTGAAAAGCCTGTAAATAATGTAATTTGTTTTTATATTTAGATGACTTTAAGCCTGCATCTATTGATATGTCCTGTGAAGGAGACCTTGAAGTTGGCAAAGGTGAACAGGTGACAATAACGCTGCCAAATATTGAGGTGAGTTGATGTGGCTGAAGAGTGGCGGGCTTAAAAGAATGATTTATGTTCTTGTCCTAAGTATATACCCTGACTGTGGAAGGGTATAAAGTTTTAGTGCTGCTTCAGAGCTGCCTAAGTGATTTTTAGAGTAGAAAAACAATTGTTCTAAGAATGTAAGATTACAAAAGACCCAAAGGTTAAACAGCTGCACTGTAGCTTTAAGTGTATTTGCTGCACTGGAAATATGCTGTAGGATGACCCAGAAGTGTTGCGTACACAGAAAAGCTTCATGTGTATGTTGGCAGTGTAAGTTTCCCCTTGGTATTTATTGCTCTAGTGCAGTTCTAAAGCAGGAAAGACTGGAAAGGGAAAATTTACTACCTGCCATGCTTTACTGCTCTGCTGATATGGGAACTGAAACCCCTTTTGGTGAGAGGAGTCCTAGAGAGAAATAAGGAAATATTGGGAAATAAACATTTAATCAGTTTCAAACTAAGCTAAGTGTGTAGAATCCAATTCCAGTCAAACACCAGCTGCTTTTGGCCATGGCTACTGTGAATCTAATTTGAATTAACCTATGACATTTTTAATGGCTAGAAATGATTGCTTGTAGTGAACTTGTCACCACTGAAGGATTGCTGTTTCTAAGAAAAACAACTACAGGAGTAACACTTACTGGACTTCTGATTTAATAGGGTTCAACTCCACCAGTGACTGTGTTCAAGGGCTCAAAGAAGCCTTACCTAAAAGAATGTATCTTAATTATCAACCATGACACTGGAGAATGTCGCCTAGAGAAACTTAGTAGCAACATCACTGTGAAAAAAACCAGGTGGGTGATTTACAGGAGAAACAGCTGTGCTTTACTCATTTTGAAAATCAATGTTAATGAGTCTAAATTGAGATATATAACTACGTATCACTATCTTTAGGAAAACATAATTTTAGAAAGTACCTGGTCTTGCTCAAAAGAGTGAAAAGCCTGCTTTCCCAGCAAACTGACTTCACAGCTTTTGCGTCATGACTGCAGAAGAAATCAAAATGTATTTTTTTGTTAACCAAAACATGTCATATTATTGAAAGAAATAGTAACTATTTTCTAAACCAGAAAATAGTTTAGAGGAAGAAAAAAACCCATCTGTTTAGCTATTAGTTTGCCTGCTGTCTTCTGGTTTGTAAATGAGGAAATAAAAAAAAAAAAAAAGAAAATTTTGTGACTCAGTAATTGTAATGGGTTTTTCTCACACCAAGTTTTTAAATATTTTTCTGCTGCTGAGTCCATCTAAGTAATTTCAGAAGAATCATTATTAAGTGATCCTTGGTAGCAAGGTACAAAACCAAATCAACGGACAAAATATTGTAAAGTTAATAGCACTTATAAAAATAATTTAAAACACATATACAATGTTAATAGTACAATATTAATATATTATGTGTATTAGTATAATAACTTACCTAAGAATCAAAAGCTGCTATTTAGAAAGGCATAAGAAATAATTCCATGGTACCATAACCCCTGCGTTCTTGCCTTTTTCCTTGCATCTTGCCTTCTAGTAATTAAAAGTGCCTTCTAGTAATTAAAAGTCGTTCCCTTTTACACACAGAGCTGAAGGAAGTAGTAAAGTCCAGTCTCGCATTGAGCAGCAACAGCAGCAAATGCGAAATGCAACAAAGGTTCCAAACAATGTTAAAAACTCTCCATCAAAGGAAAAAACGTTTCCATCTTCTCCTATGGATGATATTGAACGGGGTAAGCTCCACTGGCACATAAGTTTCAGAGATTTTGCTGTTAACAAGCAATTAGTTTTTAAGAGGTTTTTGTGACTGTATGTTGGTTTTGTTTTGCTTTGTGTTATTTGAGTTTCACACTAGAAGCTGATTATATAAGCAACTACACTCTGATATGGAACTGACCACTCTGGCTCAAGTGGGTAAAAAAGCAGCATTTGTAGCTTGCAACAGTAAAAAGAAACAGCTGAACCATTAGGCTTAATAAATGCCAAGGGTCCTGCTGCTGTCTCCTTGAGTCTGTCTTCCATTGCTACTTTAATCAAGTATACGCTTGGTTGTATTGTGGTACTGGAACTAAGTCACTTCCATTTTGACATTGCTGCTTGTTCTTTCTGTGCACTCAGCAAATATGTTACAGTACTTTACAACTCATCATACACTTTAAATTACCAGATAGAGCCTTATGGAAGATGAGGTTCCAATGAAAAAGACAGCTAAAAACTTGCATAAATCAACCCTTGAGCAGTGCTATGTACTCTTTCCTTGAGAGATTCTGGTTTGGTGTGACACTCATATTTCACTTAATAGGAGGCCTTATTTCCTTTAGGAGGACAAGGAAGATGGCAGGTGGTAATTACTTGCTACAGAAATGCTGACAGGTGGCAGTTTCATTGACTGGAACTGACATCTGCTTCCTAAGTTGTTCTGAATTCCTTTAAACAGAATTTTTTTTTAGATGCATCATTATGAAGATGGTTTTTGTTTCCATTTTGGTTTTAAGCTCTGACCAGAAATCTATATTGCAGGACAGTACTAGAATTCATCTAAAGTTCCAAAGAGGAGGGAAAAGTTGGGCACATGAAATAAAATTATGCCTTTTCTAGGTGGTCTGTTCTTTTGAGGGAAGTGGTGGTATCAAACACTGAAAGTCTCCAAAGTGACTGCCAATGTACCAAACTCTTGTGTAGTGCCAGTCCAATTTTGAGTACTATTTAAAATGTTGAAAAAATTAAAAGGATGGTAGAGATATTATCAAATCATCTAGTCCATCCTTTTGTCCTAAAGTCAGATTTCTGATGTAACTTTTAACCTGTTCTTAGAACCTTCCAATGACAGATCCTTGTACTTGCTGGCAAGCCATTCCAGGGCTTTGCTCTCCTTACTGTTTGGGTTCTCCTGTACAGATAGTCTGACAGCAAGCCTATTACTACTTTCATATTCATCATGCAAGTACAGAGCAGATTACTGTGCTGCTTTTGAGCAGTCCTTCACAGACTCAAACTGCTCTGTCTTTCCCATTCTTTATGCAAAATGACACCAGTTGATCCAATCTTTCCTTAGAAGCTTCCTTTCTAAATCCCTGATTTGTTGTCAATTTCCTTTAGCTTTCTTGCAATGGGTCCAAAAACTTGCTAAAGTATAGTCCCTAAACACATCTACTGAAGTTCTAGCAGTGCTGATGTGAGCAAGAAAGCTGCCTTACAGGCACTCTTTATCTTTATACACAAAGAACAAATAGTATCATGTCTGTAGTATCACAAGACCAAACAGTATCAAGTCATTTCCAGCATGAAGTGGTAGATAGGACAGTGTAGGGATGCACTGTAACTCTCAGACTCTTCAGAAGTGTTGCCTGCTTAATCATTCTTCATCCCATGGTTGTGTAACTGACCATTCCCGCTTAAGTACACTACCTGGAACTTGTTACTAACTTTGTTTTCTGGGGTGGAGGGGAAGCTCATTCTGCCATTATCCTCTAGTATATGTACTGCTCTTCCTTCACTGGTTAAAATTACTTAATTTAAATTCCGTCTGATTAAATTACATCAAAATTCAAGGCGGAGATCTTATTTCTTAGTTTTTCGTATTGGCCATTCACTTAAAATTTTTCTTATATTAGACATTGCTTAGGAGGAAATGGAATTGAATGCTCAGGACTTAAGTGGTGTCCTTCAGTTAGGTGTCTTACAGCTCCAGATGTGTGGAGGATCATGGTCTCTTATACACGTTCTTAGTAAAAGAAGGATGCTTATATCCTTCCAATTCTTATTTTCTTTCTGTTCTCCTTCTTTTTTTCCTTATGTTTGACTAGTTCAGTCTTTCATTGTTCTTTCTTTCCTAGCTTTGGGTTAATTTGTCCCTGTAGCCACAGCTGCACACTTAGGTTCCATTTTTCCTGAACACAATTTTCTTTTAGACAGGCCTGTGATAAAGATGGCCTTTCCTTTAGACTGGCCTTTGATAACTTAGATTCTATTTCATGGAAGTTTGTGTTGAAGATTAATCTTTTTATTCCTCCTCCCTTCTTCTCTTAAGCTTTACACTGTCTTCTTGCATCTTGGTGACATTCACCTTCAGCCTGTTCTGTACTGGGTGAATTTGAAGAGAGATGAGTTACTCTCCTTCTTGCTTTATTGCGTCTGCTATATCAAAGCAGTTCCTGAAGTACTCTAAGAGCTTGTAAGCCCATCTTAACAAATGTCTGGGTAGTTACAATCTTATATAGTGATGAACTTCTGCACCCTGTATGACTCCTCAAGTCCTCCCTCCACCATGATTCAGAGGTCTGTTTTGGACTTCTCTCAGCACTCCTGTTTTGCACAATTATTATGTGCACCCTTCAGCAAAGATTAACTTCCTCTGTATGTTGGACTGATGTCAGAAATGCATACTGTGCAGCATTATTTGCACCTCCAAATCTATAATGAAACAAGGATTTGGAGAAATCTTCCTAATATAAACTTTGGGTGGCTCTTTTGGATTCTTCATGCTTAACTTGATTTTGAGCAAAATGTCACAACATGGTCCAAACAAATGTATTGATTGCAATGCTGGATTGCTGGCAGGCATTTTGGGTGCAGCTGCAGACATCTCGCAGTGACTGATCTGTGGATTGTAACTGCAGTTTTTAGTCAGTGAAAGCCATATTTGGGGTGCTAAGGAAAACACAGAACATTTTCTGCTAGTTGCAGAAATTAAAGGCTATGTGGGCTGCATTACCCCATGGAATGCGGGGTTAAGAATTTGTGTTCACAGTCACCCTTGTTCTAACACTTGGCTTGAAAGGGAGAAAGTGCTCAAGCTATGAGAATAGAAATCCACATGACAGGCTGGATACTCACTTGTGCCCTTTTCTTTGTTCTGGAGATCTTTGGTGGGTTTGGTCTGGGGTTTTTTTAAAGTTGCTGTAGTGTGTTGATTTTTTTCCTGATGTCTGTTGATTTTTTTCCTTTCTTCCCCTCTTCCTTATATTTCAATTATGATGAACATAAACTGAGAAACAAATCATATTGTTTGCAGAGCTAAAAGCAGAAGCCAGTATCATGGACCAGCTGAGTAGCTCTGACAGTTCATCTGACTCTAAAAGTTCTTCGTCCTCTTCATCAAGCAGTGAAAATAGTTCTAGTGATTCTGAAGATGAGGAAATGAAGCCCTCTCTTCCGATGTCGATGCCGTATTTGCAGCCTCAGCCTACTGTGTCTGCCATACCCCAACAGGCTGTTCCTGACAAAGATGCCAGTCATAACAGATCCCAAGAGAGCAGCGGTCATATGATGAATACACTACGTAAGTACAAAGGCTGTTCTTTTCTTAGTGCACAATTCCAGACATCAAGATTCTGAAAGGAAACCATATTGTTTTTAAGTATGTCTCTGTTATAATTAAAACTGTGGGAAGTGATGCTAGGGTTTGATTGTTCAGCAGCAGGCTGAATTAGACACTGGGCTAGAAGGTTTGTGGTTCACAGAGATATTAAATTAAAGCTGAACCAGTTGAAAATATTTCCTAAGCTGTTCTGGCTTCCTCCCAGTTCTATACATTGGGACTGGAGAACAGTAATTTTGTATTGAAAATACTTGAACTAACAGGGCACTCCCTAAACATACGCTTATAATTTCTTGGATAGAACTATGGGAAGGATAGTATGGTTGCACTACTCTGAGTTACAGAAAAGATGGTGTATTCTGAGCTGTGTCTGTTACAATTACTTATGGCAGTGATCCACTGGCCAACATGGCAAAACTGTCCTTTGCATATAAGGAAGGAGGTGATTTGCTTTCAGGTGATATTATCTTATTCCACACATTCAGGCAACTAAAAATTTAATTTGAAGAGTAGCTGTGATGTTCAAGAGCGGTTGCTGCACAGTCTGGAATTGAATGCTCAATGTATTCAAAAAAAGGAAAATTTGAAAAAACTCACATAAAAAATAAAATCCCACTAGGCAGAGAAAGTAAAGTTCACTACCTAAATAACAGGAGTACTCAGACATAGAACTGAGTATTCAGCTATGATAACTCTTCCAGAATGGTTACATTTTTAGTTAGCTGCTTAGCTGCCAGATCTTGGTTTGAAGAGATTTCCATCTACCCTGGTTTGCAGCCTAAGATCGTTATGGTTTATCATTTATATGTAAACTTGTTATACTGAAATTTTAGACTCTGGCAGATCTACTTTTATTTCAGCTCTTAGTGGATAACATGAATGACAGTTCTTTTTCTTTTTTCTCTTTTTTTAGCTAGTATTTAAATACTTAAATAACCTGCATTGGTATTTAATTATGTACTGCATTAACAGATAAGATCAGAGTGAAAAGTCCTGTGACTTTGTGTGCGGAGAACTAAATGCTGCTTTCATTTTACTGTCATTTTACTGACACTGTTCACTGCAGAGAACAATGTCTTCATGTTTACAATTTGCGTAACATTAGAGTGTCACTTATTTCAACCCTTACTGACAAATGTGATTTCCCGTTCTCCACACTTTAAATTAAACTGTTATGAAAATGTGATTAAGCTTTATCCCCAGTGACAGAATCTCAGGTGGCAACACTTCCAGTGAGAAATACAAGTACAGGTGGCCAAGTCCACCAGTTCCAGCATAGGGAGAAAATGCTGCTTTTAAACCATGACAACATCATGACTGTTTCAGGGGGAGCTGGTGGCTTGATGTTGCTTGAGAATCATGTTGACAGGTAGAACCTCTGCTTGTAACCTTAGGCCTCTGAGCTTGCCCAGCTCTTGAGATTACTGCCATTTACTTCTATTATGCTTACAGATATGTTGCTGCTTAAAACAATTCCATCCCCAACTTCCAGTGCAGTTAACATTTAGAAGACACCTCCACTAGTTAAAGATCAAACCAGCTACTTCCAAAACTGCTCTTTAGCTCTGTTGCTGAGGGAATTTGGCAGGAGAGTGAAACCTGGAGAAACTAAACGGATAGCACATTGTTCTACTTTGAATGGCAAGAGTTCTCAGATTTTGTACAGTCATTTCTTCCATCTCAAATAAGGTTTTGCAAAAATAAAATACTGAATCAACAAATGTCAGCACAAGCTGCTTGCTTGTCTAATCTTGCTTTGAGGTGTGTGCTTATGTCTGTGACTAGTTTTGCACACCTCTGTAGAATTGGGGCCATACCAGGTAATTAGTGAAGTTTTTCTTTGACTTTCTGTGTGCAGGGAGAAAGTTGGGGGAAGCTTAGACAGCAGAGTTTTATCTTGCATGTAGAAATTATACAGTTGAAATTTTGTAGAACTTGGAAAATAGAGGAGGTGGTGTCTAGAGCATGGTAATGAAATACTTCTGTCAGATACAAATCTACGTCTTCAGGAATCTGGGGCTCAAGACTGCCCCTCACTCCCAAAATACTGCTTCTTCCCCTTTCTACCTTGAGAAGCTGATTACATAGGCTCACAGCTTGCCTTATAACAAAGTCTGTAAATGGTGACACTAATGAATCTGTTCTTCATGAATATTTGATCATATGTTGCTTTATGTCTACTTTTTGTTTAAACAAGGGTTATGTTAAACAAAGTAACTTTCCAAAGAAAACCCAGCATAGATGGGTTATTCTGCAGCCTTGTGTTAGGTACTTAGTATTCAGCACAACTTCACTTCTTTTGATGCTTGGTACAAACATAGCTGTTTTACTTTGACAAATAATTTTCCCTTGTATTAGTTTGGTGTTGGTGTGACCACTAAGATTTGTGAGACAGTGATCACTCCTGTGAGTTTCCCTGTCCCCTATAACTAGCAAGAATTCAGATGAATATATTACATTCACTTATTTAAAAACACAGGAAATGTAATTTGCAGTGCAATCTATTCCCCTAATTAATATTGCTAATAAGCAGCTGGCACCATGAAAACAATTCAGCAGTTCACCCTCACTTCATTGCTGCCTCATAAGTACAACAGTCTAGATGTTTCTTCAGGGTCCTCATTAAATGAGCTTTCTCTCTGGGCACCAAATCCATCTGAAAGCCACCAGCTCTAGATTGTGCTATTTTGCCCTCTCTCTGAAGGTGTTTTTCTGAAATAGGATTGCAAAAATGAGGCAGAAAGCTTAGCCTGAAGTAAATCCTAAAATATTAATTCTGACTCTGGAACTTGGAGTTCTTGCTTTTCCCATCTGCTGGTTTTCACAAGCATTGGTATTTTTGGCTGGTGTTACAGCGTTTGTGTAATTTCTATTAACTGTGTTGAAATAACTTTTGAAGGCTGCTGAAACACCATTTGGAAGGTTATCTTCTTGTTCACACTCCATGTCCTCCCATAAAGTAGCTAGTGCATAAGAGGGCTGGGATTTCTAAGAATTCACTGTAATTCTCCTTTGAGTGACAAATACATGAGTTAAATTTACCAATACCTTCTCTATCTTGAAAGATCTTTTAGGCTATTACATTGTTCTGAATAATTATTGACAAATAACTTGGTTTTGTTCTTTCTAAAGTGCTTTTTAAATTTATCTTAAAATAATCTGGCTGTAATTTTTTTCTCTATATAGACGATTGTAAAGAAAAAAGTCTACAATAATACTTTAAAGATTTTTGGAAACAACCATCTTGACTATTCTTTTCTTATATAAAGTGTTTTTGTTGTTGCAGAGAAGCACGTACCACTTTCTAAGCATTATTGATGACACAGTGGAAAACAAAGGAAGGCTAAATGCAGCCATGTTAAAGACTCCAGTGTTCTGGCAGAAAGGATATGCCTGAGAATAAAAGATCCAATCTGAGTCTTGTGGGGGTTTTGATGTGAGAATAGTGTGTTGACTCAGTTTTCTCAGTTTCAATTATTTTTCTTTTGTTTTTAGGCCATTTCTGCACAGCCTGAGATGATTTTTTTTTTCTTTTGTAATGGTTGTTTGGCAAGGGAGGTGTGGGTAAAAGCATACCAGTTGGAACAGACTCCTAAAAACGTGTGGGAAGTTGCGAGATATGATGTAGATTGTGTAGAGCATGCTGCTGTATTTTTTGTTAGCTATCTGTCATCCTGGGAAGATTCCCTTCCTCACACCCCCTGAGTTTATGGACATCCACAGCAAGCACAGTGTAGCCTTTTTACTTCCTGATTTTGAAATATATAGAGTGAGCCACCAAATTAAAGTGCTTTGTAAAATTTCTTTTGATGTTTTGTTTGCTCACTTGTTCCAAAACCAGTTTGAAATAGTAGGTCACTGATACATCTTTAAGTGGTATGTCAAAGAGCTGCTCTTCTTGATTGAGACACCACTTTGTTTTCAAGCACAGCTGAGTAGCATTCAGATGTGTTTCCAAAAAAACCCAACAACTTGTTTTTCGTAAAACTGCATTCACCAGCAGTTTTTCCACTTGTGAAACATGAAAATGTGGGTGGCAGAGATAGCTAGGTGTTGTCTTTTGTGATCTGGTGATGTTAAATAAATACCCTTGTGCAAATATGCTAATGGCTTCCTTGCCAAGATTTTAAAATTATAGAAAACTGATCTCTCTAAGGTTCTGTCACTGTGAGTTTGGTTCTACACCTACGTATTCTTTTATCATACAGTAGTTTGGGTTAAAAGAGACTTGAAAGATCATCTAGTCCAGCCCCCTTACCTGTTTGCTATTAGCTTTTGTAAGCCTTAATTGGGAAAGGGATTATCGTGAAAGAAGAAAATGGTTTCCTTGAAAATGACTAATATGTTGACTCTTTTTCTTCTAGGAAATGACTTGCAGCTGAGTGAATCTGGAAGCGATAGTGATGACTGAACAACTTTTTGGCCTTAAATGTATCACCTTTTTTTGCTAAATATGTCTTAGCATCTGTTTTGCACTAAGATTAGATTACCAGAGACTGGAATGAATGTCCTCAGTTTTGATAATAGACATCCTAATTTTCTACTGACACATCATGTCTGTTATACAGCAGCATTGATATCCTGTCAGTGCTATGGTTATGTGTTTATCTTTCAAATTACTGTATTTACAGTAAAATTGTGTATGATCTGATTTTGATTATTTTTGCCTCAGCCACCTGTTTTACTTGAAACTGATTTGTAATAGCTAGTTACTTTATATAAATAGCTATGAAATGGAGAAATTTCTGATATTTATGGAGGCAAGTTTCCTTCCTATCACTTAAATGCTGATCTCATAACTTTGACTTGGAGGGAGAGAAAGAGACAACAACTAAATGAGGTTTGCTGTGTCAGCTACACATTTTGTTCAGTTCACAGTTCATACCTTTAAGGAAACTGCTGAATAATGTGGTCCACTAGTGCAGTTACAGTTTACAATTGTTCAACACATTGCTGAATTCTTAATTTCATTATATAATGGGACTTTATATATTTCTGAGCCTCAAGATTCCTAAGGGAACTTGTCTGTTCTCTGCCTGTTTTATGTAACTTGAATAGGGCAGTCTTTTTACAACCTTTTTGTATCTAAATTTAGGTAACTGCAGAGACAGCAATGAATTTCATTCATTTAATTCTGTAACGGAAATCAGAAAATTTCTTTGTAGAAGTATAAAAGTAATTTAATAAAGCAAATGTTTATCATTTTCATGCATCAGATTCTGTTTTTACTGGTTAAGAATTCAATTTTCTACCTAAAGTAGTCATGCCAGTGAAGGGATCAGGTGAAGAAATAAAGCAGTGAAATAGTAGCTAGTAAGGACTCTCTAACCTGTCTACAAGACTGAAATGTTTGTTGCTTTTGTTCCACTGAGGTGACCCTTAGTAAGAGCTTGCCAAAAGTTTATGGTGATGCAACTGAATGTTTATTACAGATTACATCCAAGTGCCAGTGGGAACTAATACCATATTAGACGAGAAAAGGTCTTTTTTCATATATGAAATTATACTTCAAGCCTTAAAGAATTGAGGATCAGACTCTAAATTTCATCCTGTAATTTACCACTTAAGAGTTTTGTAACAGTAGCAAATGTCTGTAGGGTGAGTTCTGACAAGATAAGTCTGTTCAGTCTTGCACAGAAGTCTCCTTTGCTGGATTGCAGTGGTTAGATCACAGCTCTGTGTTTAAACTCTGAGGATTGAATCCCATATGTCAGCCTGAATGTGCACACATGGAAAAAACTGCACACTCAGTAAATGTATACAATAGATGGTACTAGAGGAGCTTATTCTCTGAACTCTGCTCTATCAGCCCAGTGAAATATGGGAAATGAAATGAAATATGGGAAATGCTACTTTCTGATGCTTCCAGACCTTGTGCTCTGCACCAGGTCACAGCTCGTTAATCTTCTGTCTTCCTAAAGTTGGTATTGTAAGAAGAAAAATGTTCTTGTGTTTGTAATCAAGGGGAAAAACTCATAGGTGAGCGGTGTTAGAAAAGGGCTAATGCTCAACCTTGAGGAAGGATGCTATGTAATAACCCCTGTAAGACATTGGAAACTCTTGAGGGAAAGAGGATTGAGGTCTCTCATAGATCCTAGCTGTTGGTGTGGGAACTGTAGCAGAGTACCTGGCTCTTGGGATGTGCTGCTGATAAAGTCAGCCAGGGCAGTGTGAGGAGCTGAGATGTTGCACCTTAGCACTAAGGAGCAGCCCTGTGTGCTAAATAAAGGGGTCTGTGATAATGCAGTGTCCTGAGCTGAAATGTCTTCTCTTTGCCTTCCCTATGCCCCAGTGGTTCATTTGCATCAAAGTCTTCCCTTAGGATGATGCTAAATTCTAATTCCAGCCATAATGCTGCTGTTTTTCCTGAATAACAGGGCATCCAGGGTGTACAGAATGAGCAGATGTGTGGAAGCACTGACCATGCTACAATCTAAATCATGCAGAGCACATGTATTCATGAGTTGTAATCACTTCTTCAGTGATAAAACTGTTGAGTGCAGTCTGTCTATAACTGTGCTCACGTGTATACAGGTGCTTAAATATAGCTCAGGGAGTAAAGCAGATTTCCAGGTTCCTGGGTCTCAGGACTGTAACTAAGCCTGTGCTATCTTTAGGATTTGATCTTTGGGTTGAAAGCTTTCTAGGAAGGGAAGAATGTTATTGAAGCTTTTGTACAGTATGTAGTACAGAGTGGTTAGTGGCTAGTCAGGCATTTTGTCAAATGCTACAACTGTGATAATGCAGGAAAGCTTCCCTTTTAGTAATGGGACTTTACTTCCCTTTAAATAATGTGGATAAGATTCTGTAACAGTTCTTGGAGAGATAAGGGGAAAAGGATAACATGTAAATGCATTAAAGAATAAACCTCTGCATGCCATTTCTATCCCAAACATATGTGATTGGCTCCCCCCTTATCCATGTACCTGTCAAACATCAGCAGGTGAGCTAAGGAGCTTGTGCAGCCTCTTCTCGTGCAGAGGACTTGGCAAGGGTGTAATTTGTGACTTGCAAGGGGCATTTCCTCCCCTAAGGCTGGGGTTGTGTGCCCTGAGCAGTGCTGAGCCTCCATATCTCCTACTGCAGGTTTTTCCCAAATGGCATGAGTGAGAAGGGCATTGCATTGAGATTTTCAAGCAATTTTCTTTTTTTTTTTTGACCCTGATTTAGAAATTCTATTCTCCCTTAAAACCAGTTTTATTCATGTGATATCAATTTAACTAGAAAGTAATAAAAACAGTAACAGCTGTAAGTTCCATGACCACTATTCCTACAACCTCTGAGTACCTCTTTCAAAATGACTTGAAATATATCTGGCTCTATCTTATTTCTTTCAGTTATTTTGTCTTTACATCCAGAGATTTAAAGCACTTGCGTGTGTATCTCTAAGCAGCAGGTATATTTGAATACTATTTTGAGGCATTATATATTTTTCTGTGACTTTATAATGAAACTATTGTGTATGTTTTGGATTTGAAGAATAGCTGCTTATCACTTATATTGAAAAATACCTTCCCAATGCAGCTGAAAACTTGAGAATTTTTTAGTCTTCAATGCTAAGGACCACTGCAGCCACAGTCCATCTGCCCCTTCTCTCTGCATGGCACCTGGTACAAGCACAGTTTGTCTGGTAACTACTTCAAGGTTGCAGTATTCACCCCCCGTTAATTCCTGAAATAGGGATTATGTGTGTTTACCAATTGTACCTACCTTGCCTGGCAGCTTCCAATTCTTTTAAGAACCCTGTCCTCTTGTTTTTCATGAATCCTGCCCTGGGGCATGTGGACAGGCTGAGACCATCTCTTCAGGATAGCTCTGGCACCATGGTATCCCATGATAAACACTGGGATTGGCATATACTTGGGGTTTTCTGAAAGCAGGGTATAATAATTTTTCAGATTAAAGGACTTGACTAAGTCACTTCTGTGCTAACAGAGAGTGCATCACCTTAACAACAGAACCACAGTATTTTTAAGAAGAATTATTTGTTGGGTTTTTCTTGACTGATTTCTGGGGAACCAAATATGAACAGATCATCTCAGATAATAAGTTTGATTTGGTACTCAAGACGTTGATCCACAAAAATCATATAATTTCTGGCCAACACTTTTCATTTTCTTTAGAATTTCTACAGGAAGGTTTCTGAGCACAGCCAAACAGATGGTCGAATCCTCCTTAAACAGAAGAGATGAGGTTGCATAAACTGGACTGACAGAAATGAAGAAGCTCAGAGGAAGAAAGAGAACATAACTTGGGTCATAATGGTTGCTAGGCTAAATGCTTGCAGTACATGTGAATTCCTTCTCTCACCACTTTTTGAGGTCATTCAGCCAACCACATAAGGTGCTAAGGACAGTCTTGATACATATGGGTTTCAGACCAGCTTTTTGAGGACATGTAAAAAGAAGAATGAGGAAAAAGAGTTTTGAACATTGTTAAAGTATATATTCCTGCTGCTTTGATTGATGTAGGGGAAATGCAATAAGAAGGTGAAGACGTGCTGAAATGAGGAGAAAAAAGCGAGAAATGATAATGTCTTTCACAGTTTAGACCTCAAATATGATATAAGTAGTCATCCACATCTGCGGGGGAATAGAGAGACTTCTGTGTCTCAGCTATTACTCTGCCCAGTTCAATGAAACTAGAGTAGCTGCTTTTCCTGGTTGTTAACTGGTTAGCAGTAGCATCCCAAGGCAGCAGCTCCTTGCTTACCAGATATATGCATTGAAGTGGGCTGAAGTAATAGAAGTCCCTAAAGCATCTGTTACTGTGGGGTTTATTTCCCCACTTGCAGATTGTCTCGATGGAGAAAAGCTCCTGAAGGGCAGAGTCAGAGGTCAAGGCTTGTGTTGTCATGGAGAACTACTCAGCTCCAAAACAGAAATCCCAACTTCTCGTACAAGGTTTGTGTAAAGTGCCACATCTGCTGGGAACAGCAAAGGCTTGGGCTCTAGTTGTTTCTGTGGTTTTCTGAATCCATAGAAGAAATGAGTATGTTCTCAAATTTTCCTTCTCTCAAAGCAAATCCCTCTGCTGTGGTCAGGAAGGAATGGAGGTTAGAAGCAAAGATGAAGGAGTCTTTCATTCAACAGAGAAGGCTTTGTTGATGTACAACACAAACCTGGTGAGTTAGCTGCTGAGACCTCTCTTGACTGGCTTTGAACAGGGGCCCTTGTTACAGAACCTGTTCTCCATCTCTCATCTCCCATGTGCTGAGCAGCCTGGCTTGTTCTCCTAAGGGCTTACGCATGACAGAGGATTACTTGCTCCGTCTAAGAGATGAGGCCTTCTTCATGCTGTTTAAGTTTAAAGAAAAGTGGAGTGTCTTAAAAAGTTAATTAAAGAAGACCCAACAGCAACCTAAACTCTTCTTTAATATCTTTAGTTTCACTTCCACATGCTGTGTATCTTGTTCTACCAGTTTCAGTGCTCTTGCAAAACAGTTGCACAATGGCTTCCTTTTAGCAACCAGCAGAACTAAACTTGAGCTCTCCTAACTGAATGTACCTTTTCTGAGATGTGCTGAATTTCCAATAAGCTCTACAGAACCCCATTTTTCCTTGTGCCTTTTCATTGCTACAGCTTTTGGAATAACTACTCATGGGCATCCTCACATACAGCCCTCAGAGAGACATGGGAGCAGGTTGCAGCATGAAAATACCAACTCATCCCTTATCCAATTACCTTTTTTACACCTGACTCTGCACATTAACAATTTATGAAAAGATTTAGGCTTTTACCAGAGTTTTGATCCAAATGTTTATAGTAGTAATAAAAAAATTTACCACTGTGAATTGTTCCAAAAAGCTAAGGCTGTTTTAAAGGCCAGTGTCTGATTGAGATTCTCCCTTCAAATAAAAACATGTTTGTGCCAGCATGCTGCAATGAGGGCACAACAAACTATTTTGGAATTATCTGTCCTTCAGTGATTCTGCTGGAAATGTTTGTGTGCCTTATTATGATCCTCTCCCACCACAGTGTGGAATAACTTCCACTCCCATGCTGCATGATGACCTGGGTTTTTGGGTTTTTTTTCTGGTTTCTTTTCTTTTTTTTTTTCCCCTCGTGTGAAAGCTGACATTTAGCTAACATTTTCAAACTGCTTTTGTTAGAAATGCTGGTCATCAAAAATGTTTGCCAAATGTGACCTGAATGCAGGTGGGGAAAACTCCATGCAGATTATCAGCTACACCTGTGTTAC